CCTGAGGTTCATCTGCCGGGGCCAAGCACGCTTGGACGGTGGCAGCGAGGTCCTCAGGACGTAGATGGATTGCCTTACGGGCTAACGAGCTCCATCTGCCCGGGGAGGGGCCCCGACCGGGAATCGAACCCGGGTCTCTGCAGTGACAGTGCAGTGAATTTTCCCCTGGACCACCGGGGGCTCCCACAATTCATATAGTAGAAACAATGCAACTCTACCTGTTTGTGGAAGAAAAGTACTGTATCTTTAAGTTTATGCCTGTGCCCTAGGATATGGTGTCCTGTTACAGCTAAGTAACATGGCTATGTGCTGTTGCTAAAACAGCTTCTGATTTCCTCATCCCTGCCCACATGTACTCACTGCTGTGTAGTGATTGCATGGTTGCGGGTGTGACGTTTCACACAGGCTTCTCCACGGCAAGATTAACCCTTCGAACGCACAGTAGTCTTCCACACACTGTCCTAGCACAAGAAAAGAAGCAGAACCAGCCTGAAGACAGACTCCCTCTATAGCTAAGCTGATTTAGCACCAAATTGCCTCCTGTTTCACAGAAGTAAGTTCTCGGGTCATCAGCAGGCAGTAGCAGAGATGGGGGCGGGTACAGTACAGGGCTGGGAAGAGTGGATTGGGAGGATAGAGGCGTGGAAAGCAGGCAGACCTCTAGAAAAAGTTTCCCCTTACATTGTCCCCAGCAACGTGTAGCCTGGACTAGTGCAGTTTTGTTAAGTTTATTCGGTCGGTTTGTGTTAGTTCCTTGTTCCTGGGTGAGCTCCCAGCCCTCCAGACAGTAGGCAGATAAAGGCAAACAGGGATGTCTCCACCCCACTGTACTGCGGAAACCCCCTTGTCCCGGCAGTGTGACTTGAACTTTGCAAGGCAGTACCCCGGCACTGCACTTAAATTTTTCTGTTCAGCCCTGCCAGGTCAGTCATTTTTGTGGCTCGTGTCCTCGTTATTGCTAAAGAAGGGAGCATTTCCTACTTCCTCCTTCAGGCTGGTATCTGACTGTGGTGAATATGATTCAACCCATATTTGATTTGGCAAGACAAATGGGGCGGAGAGAGAACATTAGTTCAAGCATCTCTGAAATCTCTATTGCAACCTTTAAAAGGCTCATATTTAAGGCTCCTAAATTCACATTCTGTATCTAGTAATGTGTGTAGAGAAGTTCTTGGAGGTGAATGTTACCAGATAGAAATCAATGTTCCCAATGGTTGAAATCCTCAGTCAGCACTACTCTTGCAGAGAACTTTGTGGTATCTACATTCATCCACAAGTCTGTAATTTATAAGCCAGCTCTACAATGGCAGTCTGTTGTACCTGAAAGCAGACAGCCTGTTCTGCTTTCCGCTGTTCAGACAGCCTTTCTCAAGTGAGAATACTGCAACTACTAGAAAGGCAAAAAATTGAAAATGTCATAGCAACAAACGCATTTGAACTGAGTTGAAGATTAAAATTAAGGTCTCTCTGTACACAGCATGTTCCTGGGGACAGGAAAGGTGTGCAGAGGAACAGGCATGCTTGCTACTCTTCTGCTTCAGGTTAGTGAGGGCCAAGCAAAGAGTTACTTACCTGCCTGATTCAGAGGAAAACATTCCCTCCAGAGTCATATTTTCCG